TTTTACTTTTATTATATGAACGATATGGATTGCACAGAATGAATGAATGAATAAATAAATCAATACATGCCTCAGTGGACGAATTGGTGAGACGCCCGTCTAGAAAGTAAGGGAAGTCCAGGTTCAAACCCTGGCCGAGGTAATATTTTTCGCAATAAATCTGCGTAAAGTTGGTTAATTAATAAATGTGGTCAGCCGAGGTCGAGCGAAATTTGAAATTTTATTATTAATACTGGCAACTTGAAGAAACTAATCCTTAGATAAATAAAATTGACAGTTCGGTCACAGGGCGACCAATCTTGAGCCTGGTAATGATTTTTGTAAAGTTTTATACCTGCACGGAGAGAATTTGCTCTTAAAATTTACCTTGAAAATCGTGTAATCGTGGGACAACGTGGCAATTTGAGAAACTTTATAAGAGCTTTTTGAAATTTTACCATTTATTTTACTAGTAAAATGTACACTAAGTTAATTGGTAGTAAAATGTACGGTAAAATTTCTAATTGTCATAAAATTCTTCGAAATACCACATTGTACCACGATTACACGATTCTCAGGATAAATTTTAAGAGAAAATTCTCTCCGTGCGGCTTTCGCCTTTACGCTTTTAAACCTAATCTAATTATTATTACTCAAATGTTATTCAATAAGTAAAACTGGCACATAACGTTCAGTGAGATGGAAAGCGGAAAGAGAAGAGAAAACTGAAATTTCATTGGACCCGATGGACAATACTTAAACCCGGAGGAAGGGAAATCTAAAGCGTACGTTTCTTCTCGTCGAATCAGCTTTTCGCAACCTTTCCGTTTCTTTGTTACTGTTTTAAGACTTCCTTCTAAGAAGGGAGAATTTGACGTTGAGATGCGAGTCATTTCGACCTGGACCGCGACGCAGGTGCAACATGTACAAAAGTGCGAAGTGAATAAAGCTGGTGCTCAAGCGCGAAGTGATAGAGGTGTGACTGTTTGATGTTATTTTTTGCATTTTTGCGTTATTTTGATAATGTCGTGGTCAAAGGTGGGGGCAGGGCTTCAATAAGACGACTTAATGTTTCGATGGCACAATACGACATTTATTAAGGCTAAACATATGTTAAAAAATGTAACATAAAACATAACAGCATGGAACAAATTATTATACTTAAATTACATATCATTTGCAGGCTAAAAAAGTAACATGTCTAAAAAAAGTAAACAAAAAGAAGTTTTAGGCATAAATCTCTTTGGTTTAGCCCTAAAATTGAACGACAAGAACTGAATGGTAACATTTCACAATCTCTAGCGAAATTATTGATATCGAAATAACAAGAAAAATGTATTAATCCTTCAAATGCAATATTTACTGGCGGCTGCAGAGTTGATTTTGAACAATTTTCAACCTTTTTCTCGGATACAAGTGATTGAACGTTGATGTTAGAAAAGTTTACTAAGGAAAATTTCGATTTCTGACGTTATTTGGATGTCATTTTGCGTTATTTTGCGTTTTAAAAACGTGTTAAAACGAAATGGGGGAAACTCGAAAATGTAAAGAAATGACATTAAAAACGTTCCCGGGGCATTTTTGCGATATTTTGCGCATAAAGATAACACCAAAACGTCACACCTCTCGTGATAGTGACAGATCGGTGCGATAGCTTCTTATTTATCAGGTAAGCCTCGTTTAACTCTGATTTGCTGAATTCTGATTAATCTTGCTCGAGCTATATGAATCCGGGAATGCTGCATGCTGTCCTCAATATTATACAAGCTCGTATACGCAGGACAGAAGACCTAGACTCACGGTGTCTCGATTGCCTTCTAAGCGAAACGCGACCCGAGATTCGACTTTCTTCCGACGATTAATTGCCAAAGGGAGGAAGTAGTTGTAGCAGCGTCTCCTATTCCGAGTTTGATCGTCATTAAAATAGATGAGGTGGCTGTTACACGTGTCCGCCCGTACACTAGGTCCCGAGATTGCTCGATGCCGTCGCAACACGTGCCTCTCATCTGCGCCAACATAGTAGACCGTTTGAATTAGGCCGCACGCGCGCGCGTGTCTACGCGTGTTGCAACCGTCCGTATTGTCTATTCGACACCCGGACGACTCTCCTTCCGTACGTGTTGTCGCGGAAGCGCTCGATTTACGATCCCGATGCCGAGGCCTTTAATGAGACGCACCGAAAGATTTAGTACACCGAGTTACAACTCTTTGGCTCGGCAGCGAAGTGAGCTGGCCTGTCCACGTGCGCGCGCGCGCTCTCCCTCCCTCTCTCCCTAGCCGCGCTAGATGTGTTTCTCCTTCGGAAAGCCGCCCTCTCGATTATTTGCATCGTCGTAACACGTGTCTATCGTCGGCTAGAACGTCGAATCTGACCTAGGCGTGTGCGCGCGTGTCGTAAATGCGCGGCGTTATACTTGTCGCCGCTACCGAGAAGCGGCGACCGCGACGCAACCGCGTTGCACACGCATATAAATGCAGTCAGTCGCGCGTGCGTTTCGTTCGGGAGGAATAGAAAGCGGCGGGATGAGGACGGGCGGGCGGGGGCGGGCGGGTGAGAAATAAAGAAAGAGAGAGGGACGGAGTGCTCTCAAACGATGCAGCCGGCGCGTGTATATGCGATGTAAACAGTGCGGTTGCTGCCAGCCCTGACCGGCCGGGTGCAACGCCACCGCGGACCTTGAGCGATTATTTTACTGTGAACTCGCCTCGCGAGCGCGTGCTCCGGCGGCGGCGGCGGCTCCGTTTTACGCGCGTCGCATTTTAGCGCGGCGATGTGCGGTTTTACGCGAGAGAGTATCGCGAGAGATGAGGATAGGATCGCGGAGATCGCGCTCCGCGGATAACCGCGTCGCGCTCCAAGACGACGCAGCTCGCGACGAGGAAAGAGAAAAAGACCGATAGTCGCGCGCACGTATATAGGCTGGCCGTGGCCGCGGATGCTCGATCAATATTTTCGTAGCGCACGCTCGAGTGAAAAATACATTCCGACACTCGCGCGATCAGCGACGTCGGTGTCTTGGCGTTAATCCTGGCTTGGTGGAAACATCCACGCGTCATCGGGCACCACTTGGCGTCGTTTTTACGCCCCGCGCGTGTCGTCCGTCCGTGTTTACGCGCTCTTTGGAAAAAAACACTCGCGCCTCGGCTTTAAAGCGACACACGCTGCTGACCGGCCGTGGCGTTTTCGTTAGCGCGAATCGCGACGAGTCGCTATTAATAACAATCTCGCTAATAGTCAATTCGGATGCGAGCCCTCCGCGGGCCTCGGCCTGCACCGGAGCCGCTCGCCGGCGCGGCTCCAAAAATACGCGTCCGCCGCGCGGCGGTGGTGACGTATCGACTAAACGAAGGAAAACACAGCCGCGGGAGTGTTATTTCAATCATCGCGCCACGAAAAAGAAATCGCACTCGGAAAATATTTATCTTCTGTACCGCGGTAAACGACGAGTCCAATCGTGGAAACGCGCGCCCCAGAGCCCGGTGTATCGTCCGGAATCGTTTGATCTGACGGCGACAGCCGGCCGTCGCCGCCGTCCGCCGCGTGGTATCCATCAATCGGCCGATGCATCCCGAATTCCAATCGCGTTCGGGCGATAACGCTTCCTGCTTGTAAAAAGGAGCGAGAAGGGAGATCCGGTTAGTTCGCAGCGGAACGCGCCTCGGAGACACGTCGAGGGTCCGACGCCTTAAATAAAGGTCTGTGTCCCGCGACGCTAGAACTCGGTCCAAGTTCTAGTTTCCGTAAAATGTGTAGCCGATCAACTTGCAGCTCTTACGAAATAGCTGCAAGTCGACGGGCAATACATTTCCCGAAACTCGGACCGAGTTCTAGCAACGCGGAACACAGGGCCTTAAGGGGATGCTGGAGTGATTTCGCACTCTCGGCACCTTTTGCTCCTAGAACTGTCAATTCGTGAAAACATTTGTGTAATATACAAATTTTGTGGCTTCTGTGTATAGATCGACAGTGTCCCACTAGGAGTCTTTCACTCGCATAAGTTATAGGTTAGGTAACCTATAACTTATTCGAGTGAATAGACTTCTTGTTAAGCTCCTAAACTTAATTTCAATGATACCACGCTGTTCTTTCACTTAACCTGAATAGTGGGACACCGTCGGTCTGTACACGAAAGCCACATAATTTGAATATTATACAAATGTTTTCACGAAGTGGCAGCTTTAGGAGCAAAAGGTGCCGAAAGTGCGGAATCGCTCCAGCATCCCCTTTCGCGCTTCGGCAAATCGGAGCAGCTCGACGCCTTGGCGGGGAATACGGATGCGATAGGATGAAATCGAAAGCGCGGCACGTATCCACGCGCGATCGCGAGGCCCGCGCTATTAATAGCGCACTGCGCGTCATTATCAGCGCCGATGAGCCGAGAGACGCCGCGCGACAACTCCGCTCAGGGAGGAAATCCCAAGGAGAGAACGTTGTCGCGAAAGGCCGCGAGTCCTCGTCTTTTTTTACACTTTGCCCTCCCCCTGGAGAATTCCCCTCCTCCGACCTCCTCTCCCCGGCCCGCGTTATCGATTACTTACCTCGGGGACTGTGTCGCCGAAACCGCGGTGGGACGTGCCTTCGGCAAATTGAATTTTCGATTGCTCCGCAATTCAGCGGGCGACTGTCGGTCGACTGTGGAAACGAACGCAATTTACAATTGAGCTACTTTGTAAGCCTCGAGCAAGTTTGTCTTGAAAAGTCGCGCAAACAGGCGCGTTGACGGATCCGAGATACGCGTCCTGTTACACATTAATCTCCTTTCTAGGTGACGTCTCTGGAATTCTTTTTTTTTATTAGTTATTTATGCGGTATGAAGTACGCAATAGAGTCGGACAATAACTGACGCGGGGGCAAAAACAAAAGAATTACAGCAGCTGTTACATTTAGATCGCCTTGTTTCTTCCACGGAGCGAGTTACCAGGTAATCGGCGCGTTCGACGTCTTGGCGCCGCCGCGCCGCTCGAAGGTTAATTAATGCTGAAAACGGTGACGGAACGGTGATGTGAAAGGATTGGTCGTGGAATGTGATTGTTTCGCAGATTAATAAGACCACTTGGCTATTTTTAAGTTATTTTTTAATAATTTCGATAAAAAATGATACAAATCGGATACTTAATAACAATATAATAATGTTATAATGTATTATAAACAAGATTACTAAATACAAATGTACAGTTGGTATTTAAAGTTAGTCGTTATCGTCTGCTTCTTTCTTATTATGTATATGCTGCAACTTAAAAGCTATGATATATAACTTAGAAGCGCATGAATATATTCCTTTTGCCGTACAAACGACGGAGCGACACAATGCCCCGGCGAAGAACGCGTACAGGGGAAACGTATGAACAAGAAAGTAAGCGAAAATCGACGATCTTCGACGGAGATGGATTTTTTTTCCACTTCGCATAATCCGTCCTAGGGAGAAAAAGAAACGGAACCGACCAAGCGGCGCGACAAAAGGGCGACAATTAAACAAAACAAAAAAAACGAGACGAGAGAAACGAAAGATCTGAACTTGTCTCCTTCCTGTCTCTCGATCGCGAGAAAGTCGAGAATCGATCGGTTATTGCGAGATACAGGTTCGTGTAAAAATATCGTGAAAAATTTACGGCATCTTCTTCTTCATCAAAAAGTGTTGCTTCTTTCTTTTCACAATATATCGGCCCTTCGGCCATGAAAAATAGATGTGTCGGCTGAGATCAGGTTTTTTCTTTCAGCGCGTTACGTATCTCGATAAAGGATGATTTCTATTTCGGAGCTAATCGTTTTGCCTTCGCGGGATATTGCACTTTGGTGTACTTCCTTCCTCTCTCCTTTCTTCCGCGCGAAAGGCTGCAGCACGTTGTTTGCATTCGTTTTTTCTTTTGTCTCTTTTATCTTTCTCCTCGAAACAACGGTAGCGTAGCTATCGAGAAAGTGACCTGTACCGGTTTTTACAGAAGAAAGACCCGCGAACACACCTGCGAAGATCCTGCCCGCATCCCTCGATACATATCGATACAAGCGATTACATGTCACGCGACAAACGCCTAAGGTACACGAATGCATTATCCGACCAATATAGATATTACACGTTAACCGTAAATAATGGCTCTCAATAAACCTTATCACGTACATCAAATGTAACTTGTAGCCCATCAAAGCGCAATCTCGAAATATATCAAAAAACCTCTTCTCGTCCTGCGACGCTCTCAATTGGACATATATACACGCTAAGAATTTGTTAGAAACTACTACACATCTATCTGTCGAATCATTCATACACATATATATATGTATATATTATATATATATATTAGTACATGCGTGCGCACCGGCCGGCGTCCGAGAATCATCGCAACGTCAATAAAAGGTTCCTCTTGCACGATTAACTTCGATCTTATTTCAATTCTTTCTGGTTTATTTTCAAATTTATTTTTAAAGTAAGATTGAAGCTGACATTTCTCCAAGCTGGACCTTAAATCGAGCATTTCGCGTTAAACCGAGACGAAAGTATGCGCTTGGAAGATGATCGGCTGTTGCCGAAAATCGATTGTTGAACGCAAGTTGCGCCGGGCGATTCGCGCGCCGGCGGGTGCGCGCGCGCCTAAGTTTACGTGTTACTCGATGAAGTTTTGTAAAAATTGAAAAACCCTAATCGCAACACGGAGATACGGCGTTGTCGGTGCGACTTGGAGCCCGCCGAGGTACGTGTGTCGCGGCTTATGATTTATTTGAGCAGCAATTTGTATTCGGGCGGGAACGCGCGTCCTCCCCCCGTTCTCAAGGCGTTCCTAAACACTTACACGCGGAACGCGATATTTGGTACGTAACGATTATTAGAGATCAGAGAATAAAAGAAAGCTCGCGGCTCCCCAAGTCGCGCCGACGACGGCCAGGATAGAAGGCGGTTGCGATGCGAAGAAAGCAAGTGATTCCGAAAACGCGTCCACCGACGCCCAGTTCCGTGTATTACCCGTAAAAATACACGCGGGTAGCTCTTCTCCCTTGTTTTTCTCCCCCCCCCCCCAACTTTAACGCGCGCAAAGTAAACCTGTACAAACGCCTGAATTGCGGAAAGGATAATTGATAGGAATACGAAGTCGATTATCTTTTAGCAAAGCACCACCGCGTAGCGAAGCAAACGTATGACGCGATCTGCGCTCGAAGAAGGAAATTAAGAGAAACCTCAGCGAGTGAGTTTGGTGGAAGCACTAAATCCAGAGTTTTCCCACGTTCCCGGCTCTCGCGCCGGGCGCACACGCGTGCGCCCTCGGCGCGAGACCGGGGATACGCGGTGTTCTCCGATAACATTCCGATAAATCTACGTGAAAGCAAAACGCAAGTCGGCATCGTCTCGCTTTCTTCGCGGCGCCGCGCGCGAACTCTTTTCTTTCTCTCTTCTTAACATACAGCTACGTATCCCATCCCACATACTTTGTAACTCGTTCGTTAACTTCCTCTCTTTCTTTTTTCCTTATCGTTTTGTTTGGTCGCTTCTGCAATACATACATATATATATATATATATATATATATATCCATCGATTAAGTATCTCGCTGTTTACCCGCTCGCATACGAAATTCCCGCTCCCGTCCGCCGAGCGGACACGCTTCCCTGCCTCCTCCACTAAGCGCGATGCAAAATTACGATCGTAACGAATGCGTGTTTGGACGAGAGGAGTTTTATCTGGCGAATAATCTAAATAGCGCCGGCCGTTAATTCGCGAACAGTTACAAAAACTTGACAAAAGACTTCGGACAGACAGAAACGTTCAAGCACACGGCGAGCCGGTTCTTCGTACGTGGTCAGACGACTTTTTTTTCTTCCATCTCGGGCAGAAATACGCGCGCGAATGTATGCGCGAATTGTGCTCGTCGACTCGCGTCGGAAGGAAAACCCTCGGCGACGGACGTCGCGTCGCTTTTTCTCACCTGCGAATTTTCTACGGTTGCTCATAAATCGCTCGATACTTCGCTTTCTTGGCGCGATAATGACCGCGGTTTATTTATGCGGAATCCGCTATCAGGTTCCTATCAAGGTCGCCTGAAACTCCCGCGTCGCGATCCTCGCGCTCGTCACGCTCGGCGTGCGAGTTGACGAGAAAACGGCTCCTCGTCCGAACGCGCACTCGTCGTGATCGTAGCCCCGCGCGCGTGAGAGATAGAGATAGAGAGAGAGAGAAAAAGAGAGAGATGGAGAGAGGCCGAGCCTCTCGCGCGTACGAATTGTGAACCCAGCTGACGTACGCGGCGATGCGCGCGTTGCGTACTTATCGCCGATCTCTATCCGCGCGAACAATGGCTTTTGCGAAGCCGCGCGAGAGCGTATTAAACATTAGAAGGTGGGCTCGCGCTCCGTTCGGCCGGTCCCGAAGTCGGTTTTCCCGTGCTCTTCTCGCTCGTCGCCCTCCGTTTGCACAAGCGCCCCTACGCCGCCGTCGTGTGCACTCGGCTGCAAATTGCTCGCATAATTCACGATATCTGAACTCGTACTCCTTCCCCCCCCCCTCACTCCCCTCCGCTCGTCGTAATCATTCCGCGCTGCTCTCGGACGCGAGTCTAAAACTTTAGCGCCTGGGCGGTTCGTGGGTCAAAGGTCCGTTGCTACCTTAAGCTTTGGTTATCAATTTGGAGCAACCTCTCTCGCGCGCGCGCGCGATGGTTTCAGCACTTGAAAGTTAGATTGCGGGATGACGGGTGTTGCAATTCAATACTCGGATTCGTTGCGTCGTTTAAACATCACCCCAAGCGCTATATAATTCGATGTGCGGTGGAACAAAAGTTTACTTCTATCCGTTCTGTCTCTTTAATTGCCGAGACGCTAAGTACTCTTTGACGCGGGTATCGCTGGCAGTTCTCTTTCGCGTTGACGCACCCGCGGCGCGTGTCGCGAGTGCGCCGCTGCGTGTGGCTACGAGCGGTGAACGAGCGTGGCGTTTACGCGGGCTTGATATGTAGTGCTGTCCGCGAAGAAGCGTTTTTAACAAGTTTAGAATCGACACAGCCTGTTTTCCTTTTTGTTTTACTCGTGAAAGATTATTCGCTCCTAGAGCAACGGCTCTCCCTTTCGTTTCCTTCACCGTAACCCCCTACCGATTTTGATCGCTGCCCGAGGACGTGTGTCCGCTCGCCCGAGTCTTCCCCGAGACGTGCCTTAGTAAAGGAGACGAGAATTTCGGAGCAATTGTATCGTAATAATTCTTATTGCGTTTTCGTGTAAATAGCTATCAACACTAACATTATACTTTGTTTCTCTTGGCCCTGTATATGATTTTTGTACGAGAGTTTCCAGACCGGAGTGATAGGCACTGTGTTCCCTTCATATTTTATTCCCCTTTTCTCAGCTTTACATTCAGTTCCTCTTTCAATCCCTTCCCTTCCCTTTCCAAGCACACCGTCCGCCGAAAACGACGAGCGTTTCTCGACAGAAAAATCGAAAGAAAAATCGCAAAGCGTTGCTTTTTTTACGCGCGTTTCATTGGCACCGGCCTTCACACGCCCGCCTTCGCGTCGGTAAAGAAAAAAAAAGAAACAAGAAAGGAAAGAGAAGGAAGCAGATAAACAGAATTTGCGAGTGCGATAATTCGCGCGGTGCAACCCGCGTTTGCTCGTCGATCAAAAATCAACTATTTTTTTTCCCCGTTCTTCAAGTGAGTGTTTAAGGATCGATCGTGCTCCGCACGCGTCGTGCGTGGGAGCCGCTGGCTCGTATTTTCGCGCTGGTCAGGGAGTTGCTCGCCGAATCCTTTCACAATTGACAGCAAATACAAGTAATAATGTACTGATAACATCAGTAATAGTAGCGGTAGTATCGGTGACAGTAATAATAAAAGTAATAATTAGGACGATAATCGTAATTACAATAAAAGTAATAATATTAATCATAGATATTTATATATATATATAACAATACGAATAGTAATAATAATAATAGTAATAAGATCTGCTACGTCGCAAAGCGCAGCGTGTGAAACTTACGAAGGGAAGTAGAAAAGAAAAAAAAAAGAACGGTTGGTAGTGAACTCGCTGGTATCGGTGCGACTATCGATAATCACCGTTTTATGAACAATCGTCGAAAATTAACGCTACGCAAACGTAAATGTAATATGGAGACTATGAGATCAAGTATTTGATATATCGATAACCGCGCGGGGCGGCCGAGCGTGGGACCCGCTCCGGTCTCGCGCGTCCGATGCCAACGCTGGATTTTAGACCGCTGAATCTAGCGTTGGTCGTGCGCGCGATCGGCCGGAGCGGATCAGCTCGGCGCTGTCAGTCCTCCCTGTGTGCTCGTTCCCGTTGCCGATCGAAGCGACGCGCGCCTCACCGCCACTCGACGATCTTTTCCCTCCCAATCTCTTACGAACGTGTTGCCCCGGTTCCGTCGCGAATTTCTCTTTTCTACCATTTTTTTCGCCCCCCCCTCCGAGGATTTACCCCGCGGGAGGCAATACCCGAGGACACCTCGGGATGTATCCGAGACAATAATTGTCTGAGCAAATTCTCTAAAATGTACATCTCGCCGCTTTGCGTCGCGTCAATCAAACCTGCGCATCCATTCAACATCAACTCGGCGAGACGTCAAACTCGACGAGATACCTACTCACGTGCGATCGATCGTGACGGGGCGTACGAATCGTTCTTCCGTTTCGTTCGTCGGTGATAAACTTCATTATTTTGTCGAGGGACCGCCTGGTGACCAATTCCTGCCGATCGCTTCGCTATTCCCCGCGGGAGGACGCAACGACTATCGTCGACGTAGCGATATCTCGCGCATTATTCACTCTTCAACATGCATATCATTTTATCAGTATGTATATATATAATGTATTATATATTATATTACATAATATATAGTATACTATATATATATATATGCGCATATCTTCGTTAAAACAATGGACTCACGACATACCAATCGGTGTTCTTCCCGCATCCGTTTTCATACGCGTTGAAAGTGTTGAAACACGGTTTCTTGGATCCTTGATCGTTAAAGCAATCGACTAGCAAGTCGTGTTTCTTGTTTCCATTCCTGATGCACGAACGAAAACGACTTTACAACTTCAAAGCTCCCTTTATAAAATAGTTCTCTTTCTGTTACGTATTCCTGCTTATGCATTGGGACAAGTACGGATAAAACTACGCCTCTCTTTTCGACTTCTGTCGTCTGACAGATTTGATAAAACATGAAGGAATTTGCACTGAGCGTAACAACAAGATAAGATATGCTGATTATTATATTAATTCTAATATATCGAATCAATGTAAATTAAATTGCAACCCCGTTTATATAGCGTTTAAATAGCGTTACTCTTTTCAAGTTTATTATAATAAATAAAAGTTTTAATTTTGCAACTTTGCGTACAATTTTTAAGTTGTAATTGTGACGGATCCGGGAAGGACACCGACGTCACGCAAAATACGTGTTTGCACTTCTGATGGAAATCTTCGTTTTACTTATACATTGAGTATATATTATATTCAACTAAATACAGTTTCGATATATACAACAAAAAGCGGGCGGCTGCGTGAGGAAACCTGCGAACGTTCTTCATTCACGTATTTCTTCATCATCAAACTATTTCGACTCATCTATAAACCACGCGGACCCAGCCGCCCGCACGCTTACCTAACTTCATACAAAAGTATACACTATACAATAATTAAAAAAAAGAAGAAAATCTGGATCCCGAAACCGCCGCGCATCGTGGCTATTGTTCGTATTTTTCTTCAATATCAGTCAGTGATCAATATCGGTTATTACCGTGTGGATTCGTTCGGCTGTTCGCAGAGCGAAAAAGCTTCGATAATTTTATCACGTTAGTATTCGGAACACAAATGAAAATTCAACGATCGCTGTAGGTCTGTAAAAATCTTGATACTGACGGATCGATTCACCAATCGTAAGAGTGGTTTCTGCTATCAAAAAGTCGAGAGAGAACGTGAGATTTTGTTATCTAGAAATATGCCAAATCTCTCTCTCTCTCTCTCTCCTAGAAAACGATACGTTCCGTCTTTCCGATCTAACCGCCAGTCGCAGATCCGGTTATATGAAACACAAAACGCAATACGGAGAGCCACGAGGCGCGCCGGCCGAAGAAAACATTCGTATATTTGAAGAATAGTAGTGTCTACTCTAGCGACAAGTAGAAAAGACGAAGACGCGCGTTAACGGACGATAATTCGTTCGGTCGAGCTCGAACGTGCGATCAGTGAAAAAGAATCGGCAGCGATCGCGAAAACGCGCGTTATCTTCGCGCATCACATCGGCACGTCCGGCCGACATCTTCGGATCGACCGGTTCACGAAGTACTCGCGGAACACGGCGGACGAATTCTTCCCTGCTCGCGGAAAAACGTACGTCCTCGCGCAACGTGCATCCTGAGGACAGTTATTTGTAGTAGCGCGATTAGCGACCTCTCTCTGCATGAAAACGCTCCATACAAACCAATGATGCGCATTCCGTTCCTCCTCATTCAACCCCCTCATTTTCTCTCTCGACTTTTCAGTGGCAAGGCCCGTTCCATTCGGCACACAGTACGGACAGAATTCTCTCAGTTGGAGTGGTAGAGTAAGGACAGAAACACCTCCTCCGGCGTGCGGGTGAACTCTAAATCCCCTATCCCCATGATATCCATCTCGATGTCGGACGTTAGGTCGTTGAGATCTCCATTTTGGTCCATGGTGATGTCTTCGCACCGGAGCATCTCTCCACATTTGTAGAAATCTCCGTTGGCCATGAGATCCTCGATCTTGACCGGGTTGCCGATGTTGTCAAACTCGTCCGCAAGGGAGTCGTCGATGACCCCCGTGCTGCCCGTCGTCGTCGTCGTCGTCGTGGTAGGAACGAAGAACGATTGCGGCGTGAGCATCGCCGGCGAGGCGACGTTATTTATCATGGGCTCCCGCTTCACGTTGAAATTGGTCGTCTGCCGAACAGCGGAAGTCGTGTGACAGTAACCGTTACTGTCCGTTCGCACCATCGGCATTTCTAAGGACGCCAGACATATGTCCTTCGAGGCGAAACTGGTCTGATCCAATTCCACCTTGGGCTCCAACTTCATTTCCAACTTTGGTTCCTGCTTGATCTTGGTAGGGGCGACGTTGCAGATCGCGGCGTTGTTGGATGTAATGTTCTCGGGATTGTAGCTCTCCTCGTAGAAAGCGGACTCGGGGGAGTCGGGGGTATCGCAGGTCGGGCTGGTGGGCACCTTGGCGGCAACCGTTGACGGCGCCGAGGTGTAATCGACGTCAGGGTGCAGCGTGCGGCCCGGCGTCTCCAGAGTCTCCAGAGTTAATCCGATGGGTTTGGAATTCGACCTGGACACCGGTTTCACATTCGATTGAGCCTGGAGTCTCTTCATCGGTTTCTTCAGCGTCTGCTGTTGGGTGTTGTTGTTGTTGTCGTTTCTGACCCTGGCAACGTGACTAGCAACGGGCGCCGCGCAGACCGGCGACAGCGGTGACAAGGACGAGCTGGCCAGCGTCGAGGCCGGGCTGTTCGACGGTGTCGACAACATCGACGAGGATGGTGATGGGGAAGGCGACGATGACAGCGACGGCGACGACAACGATAGAGACACCGATTTCCGCGGTCTCTTCCTCTCCTTTGCCTTGGAAACCTCGACGGGTTTCGAGGTCTTCTTCCTGGGCCGGTACTTGTAATTTGGGTACTGTATCTGATGGAATTCCCTGAGTTTCTCGGCCTCCACTCTGAAAGGCTGCCTATCGTCCTCTGATAATAGCTTCCATTTCTTCCCTAGCTTTTTACTGATTTCCGCATTATGCATATCCGGCTGAACCTGGCAAATCTTCTTGCGCTCCATTTGCGACCAGACCATGAATGCGTTCATGGGTCTCTTGATGCGATTAGGATTGTTCTTCTTCGTCTGCAACAGAAAAATCGGAAACGGGCGTTTCATTATTCCCTTTCGTCGCCGTCACTCAATTAATATTTTTAGCAAATCCTTATATCTAGCACATTTTCTCCTACCATCGATTATCCGTAAGATAAGTGTCGACATTAGGCCCGCCGCGATAAATCGATATAGGATTTACATCTCGGATCGAGTCTCGGTGTGTCTGAGAGTCCCGCCGAAAAATATTGCTACGTCGAGAGAGAATCCTATGAGTCATATATCGATACCCGTATATTTAACTCGACATCTGACCACGCATGATTTTCAACCTATGATACATCGAATTGACCGCGATCTTCGCATTAGACAAACACGACCCGGAATCGAACAGCCACGTTCGATTCACGCTGAATGTGGGATGCGACGAATGCGGGTCGGCGCGTATCTCTTCTTTTTTTTCCTCTCTTTCTCTCTCTCTCTCTCTTCGATCGACCGCGAACGCCGGGGCGAGCGCTTATGCGAGAGGAGAGGAAAAAAAAAGACGAAGGTACAGAACGAAGGTAAAACGAACGAGACACGACACCCGTAATAAAGCGAGCGGCTGCTCCCGTTTCGGCATAATTTCCGACATTACGCTACAAAGAAACGGGCGCGACACGGAAAGGCTCCTCGCCGCTCCTTGTCACGGAATCGAGGCCCCGAGGTTCGGCCGTGCGTGCGTGCGTGCGTGCGTGCGTGCACTTGCACATGCGTGCCTGCGTATCGACACGTTATTCACAATTAGCCCGCAGCTGACGGAAGCGGGTGACCAAGGCCGAGCCCGAGAGACACACTCGCATCTCAACTCGCTACACGGTGGTGGCCTTCGCGAGAACTTGACGGAGAGGCGAGCGATCGCGTGCGTGTACACCGCTCCGGGCTATATGCGCGTCGTTTCGCCGTGAGTACGCAACACACACACACACACACACACACACACACACACACACACACACACACACACACACACACACATACACACGCGCGCACACGCGGTACAAGCTCGACAGCTTCTGCGTGACAAACCGCGTAAAGACCGTATCACGCTAATCGCTCGCCGAATGCTCTCCGGGCTCGCGATTGCGCCGCGTGCGCAGATTGGAGGAGCGGATCGAGCCTGGAAATCTCGATTCGCCGGAATTCCGACCTCGATCCTCGCCCGCTGCGTCGACGCAATGACTTCATCTGCGTTCGCGCAGCGGCCTCCCGACGTAAATCTTGAACGTGCAATTGTGACACGACTTAAAGGGGACGTGCCAAAGATTCTTTCGTTCGTAGGAATCTACTGCGAGGAGCATCGAGCCGCTATAGTTCTTATTCTCGATGCCGATTGGTAAACGATAAATCTAATATTGGTTCAATTAAATACAGACTAAATGTCATCTCTATCTCGTTGAATAAAATGATGAAGAAACGCAGGAAAGATAAGTCACGAGGCACTTGTGCTGATATTTTCCAGCTGTTTGAGATCCTATTCTTAGATACAACGAGATAATCTCATACTCGTTATAAGACTAATTAAACTAGCAATTTGAATAATTGAAATGTTAGATAATTAGAATAGTAGGCACGTTTTCATCTCTCTCCTTTCGTTCCCTGCGGAACGCTTCAGAAATATTCGCGCCGCCGCGTCGTTCCACGTTGATTGAAAAACACCGATAGCGAACGCGATCAACATACGGAATGACGAACGAGCGTCCCTCTTCCGCAATCGTGATCGCCGACGACGGTAGAGATAGAGATCCATAGATCAAGCGCGGCTCGCCGGCGCGCGACGTGCGTTATCGCTGGGAAAGGAAGAGGAAGAGGAAAAAGCCGCGCGTATTGTCCTTTTCGGTCGCGCGCAGCGTCGAGTCGCGAATCACGAGGAAAGAAAGAAGCGAACTCGGGGGTCCGGTAATGGGGCACAAACGGCAGCGAGGGGTCCCCCCTCCCCCCCGCACCCCCAAGCCTCGAACTCAAGGATCGCTGACGCACAAACAACGACGACGAACCGCTCTTGTAAATCACCTCGTCGCTTCCTACTCGCGCGGCCGTGAAACACGGAATCGTCATTTGTGCCGCGAAACGTGAGAAAGTTTCAAATGGATATCGAGCCGCGGATATGCCCCACCGCCGGTCGGTTTTCACGGCCGACCCGGACGATTCACGTCGCGTCGACGCGACGCTTCCCCGAATGCAGGCTGCGTTCGGTAATAGGCGCGTTAGGGACGCACACGGCGATACTTTCGGCGAGATCCTCCTGAAAACGCGCAGATATAATTGCTGAAGTCGCGGGAGCGAAAGGCAAGAGCGAATTGGAGATCCTCGCAATAGGGAACTTTGCTATTTAAGGGGTCGTTCCGCTTTAACGCGGCTAGCACTTTTTAAAACTTCCTTTCAAACTGGCGACATTTTGTTGTTTTTAAATAAAAATTCGTAATTGAGGTTCGGGATAGAGTAACACTCACATAGATTAAGAACTGAAAGGGGAACCACTGACCAAAATCCTCACACCAACGCCCACTAATGCCCAGTAGGCCTTAGTTTATTTTAGTATCTTGTTTTATCTTATTTTATCTTTATAACGCCTCAGGCGAGGCCTAATGTCCAAACTAATGCCCCAAAAATGCCTAGTAATGCCCACTAATGCCGCAATTCTGTACCCCACAATACGCTCAGTGGTTTCCCCCTCGTTAAGAATCCTTTTAATTTTTGTTTCAGGTAAGCCTGAATGATAAAAGTCATCAACGCAGCTGTCTTGCATCTTCCTCGACACGCCATCCGAACGGTGTAGAAAGCGCTTGATTAAAAAAATTGTTTAAATTATGAGAAACTTTTTTTTGCATTATTTAAGAGCGCCCTAATAAATCCCAAAAAGTTTTATTTCATTGTATGGTGTATTTATTGTGAAAAAAAATGTTAAAGATGACCATAGGTTTTGGGCTGTTAAAGTGGAATGACCCCTTAAAGACCTAAGAAAAAATAGAGGCTTCGTCTCGCATTCGTCGACTTCGACGACAACCCGTCGTTCAGGCAGGGTAACGGCAGGGAAATTCGTGTCTTTGCTAGAGGGATCTTGAGGGCGCGTATGTGTGTGTGCGTGTGTGCGTGCGTGTTGGCCACATTGCATCCATATGATGCATACCAAACCATCGAGTAAGATGCTCCAAGCATCGCTCCAGAGTCACACTGTTATTTCTATACGGAAAAAAATGTAGCTGCCGTAGCTAAAAACTGCATGCAGTAAAGTTTCAGTTGTAAAATATGGACAGCTAATTTAGTTGTGGCGGCTAACACTTTACCACTGTGCCTGTTGCATTAGGTGCGACGACAAACCGTCTGCTGTGGTTTAGACATTCTATAGTTACGGCAGCAAAATATTTTCAGCAAATCATGATTAGCTACGGCAGCGGAAAAATTTCTTTCAGTGTACTTTATTCAGTAAAATAAAGTAGACGAGCGAGATTGTCTGTGGTGTGAGCCTGATGGATAACTCAGTCGCCCAGAGAGTGGAAGAACCCAGGTTCAAGTGCTGGTCTAGTCCTAGGCATAGACATAGTAAGAATAGACTACGCGTTTTCCCTACCTCACCCGTGTGAAAACATGTACAAACTTTAGAACGGGATAGCTGGTGTTGAACAGCATAGCCTCTTCGTCTAACGAAGTAATTGGGGGTAACAGAAGCGTAGAGGAATGACAGAGGATAAAGGATAAGCCTGTACTGCTCAAAGTATGTTGTTTCTTTCTAAAGTTTGTACACTTCTGCAGCCAAAATGCGTCTATACAGGGTGTTTCAGGGTAAAGTGTCCTAACTTAAAATATGAACTTAGGACCCCAAAACAAGAAAAAACTTTCCTCTGGAGACATGTCCGTAAACGCTTTGTTTAAGAGATATTGACATCTAAACATTTTTTCATTATAAAATTTTATGAAATTGTTAGCGGGTTATAATAAATAATTTAATAGTGTGTTTCAAATACTTTATTATTAAAAAATATGAAAATTTTTACTTAATTATAAATTTTGTTCAAAGTGACGGCCTTGAACATTGAGACAGGCTTGACATCTGTCTTTGACGGATTTCACGAACCATTGGATTTTTTTGCTTGGGGTACTATTAAACAAAAATTCTACGAAAAGCCGGTTAATGACATTAATTCTTTACAAGGAAGAATTATTTAAGCATGTGAAACAATTACAGCTATTCAGTGCCGCTCTGCCACTGCTACCGTCAAAGACGGTAAGTTCTATTTTAAGTTAGGACACTTTACTCTGAAACACCCTGTATATTATACGTCTATGGCGTACCTAACCCGTTAAGGCCGGATCAGACTAGCGATTGCCGACTCGGATTGGATTGCGACTGGCGATTGTCCTCTAGCCAATGAGAGTCGATTAAATCGCCGGCTGCTTCGCTGTCATTGGCTAGAAGACAATCGCCAGTCCCGATCCAATCCGCGTCGACAATTGCTGGTCTGATTCCGCCTTTAGATTTCTCGCCTAAATGTTTTTCAGCGACGCCGCGTCAATGCCTTCCCGATACCTCCATGCATTATTATTACGGCCTGTCTGTATATTTTGATCTTAAATTTATACTGTGCAGGCTTTAAAGAAGTTTCTGCGTAGCCATATAAAATCACGCAACTATGAAATTTTCTGGTACACTTCCGATTTACATAGTGATGCAACGCCGGATATCTTGGAACGATAAAGATAATATTCATCGCGATACTTCTCTTACCTCGCTCTCTATCGCAATTATCCCAATTGACCGTATAAATATCCAGATGGTAATCTCTAATTGGTTAAATGGCCGATAACTATACGGCTGAACGGGCCGATCGTCAAGGCTGATTATTTCGGCCGGATGAATTACACGTCGTCATTCGCCGCGAAATTCGGCCGCGTTTCTCGCGCTCGCGAGACCCGATTTATGTAACACCCGATCGGGGTGGGACGGACGGACCTGCGGCGCACGTCTCGCGGAATATCTGGCGCAACGCGCCGTA